CTAATTAAATTCCGTCCTGTGTATGTGTGTGTGTGTGTGTGTGTGTGTGTGTGTGTGTGTTATATTTTCGCAATGCAGATAAATTTATATTCTAACCCCTTCAGTATTATTATTATTAGTAGTAGTAGTAATAGTAGTAGCAGTAGTAGCAGTAGCGCTTAGCAACATCAAGATCAAGTGCCCAAGCTTTGCAATGTATGTTTAAAACACCTATAGGAACCCGACAGACCTCTATATAACAAGCTTCAAGAGGAAATACCACCATACAGGCGACTGAGGGAGCAACGCAGGGGGACCCTGTCGCCATGGCAATGTACGCATTAGGCCTATCCGTGCTCCAACACACAATGAAATATGAAACAACTGAGGTCAAGCAAGTGGTGTACTCTGATGACCTAACAGGAACAGGAAAAGTGGAGGACATCAAAAAGTGGTGGGACCTGGTAACATCACGAGGTCCACAAATAGGGTACCACCCAACCGCCAGCAAGTCCTTCCTCATTGTGAAGCCAGAACAGAATAAACGGGCAATGGAGGTGTTCGGTGGACGTGAGGTCAAAATAACTAAGGATGGCCAAAGACACCTAGGCGCAGTAATCGGCACGAATGACACCTAGACCGAGTACGTAACGGGAAAGGTGAATGAGTGGGTGAAGGAAATCTAAGCTCTGTCTGATATTGCTAACACAGAGCCACATGCGGCTTTTGCTGCATTCACCCTTGGAGTCAAGCATCGCTGGAACTACCTGATGCGCACTATCCCTGATGTCGGACCCCTCCTCCGCCCTCTGGATGTTACTGCAAGTGCCAGAGAATATGAAAAAAAAGTAGCTATAGCGCAGGAGGTGGGCGCCTCGAACTGGCTACCAACGTTACCGATAAGGGCAAATGGTTTTAGTCTTAATAAACAAGAATTTACAGATGCCAATGCTCTAAGGTACGGTAAGCCAGTAGAAGGTTTGCCCTCCCAATGCGTGTGTGGCTCTTCCTATGATATCGACCACGCCATGGTGTGCAAGAAAGGGGGCTTCATATGCATGAGGCATGACGAAGTAAGGGATCTAAAAGCAAATATGTTGAAGGAAATCTGCCACGACGTCAAGGTGGAACCGCCCCTCCTTCCATTGGACGGTGAGAATTTTCATCATAGGACTTCAAACACATCCAACGAAGCCCGTGGTGACGTCAGTGCTTGAGGATTCTGGACGCGGGGACAGCGAGCCTTCTTCGACATTAGGATTTTTTATCCCATGGCCGCATGTCACCGTAACTTAGCTCTCGATGCTGCACACAGGAGGAACGAGAACGACAAGATAAGGGCATACGGGGAGAGAATCCTCAACGTTGATCAAGGCAGCTTCACTCCTCTAGTGTTCACAACCTCTGGTGGGATAGGACCAAGTGCAAGATGCTTCTACGGCAGACTCGCGGAGGTGCTATCCGAACAGAAGCAGCAGCCCAGAAGTTATATTACAGCCTGGTTGAGATGTCGACTGTCCTTCTCTCTCCTTAGGTCGGCTTTGCTTAGCCTCAGGGAAACGAGAGCATCGGCCCCAAAGCCGACAACTGCTGCAGATATTGACTATGAGGCTACAGTCACTGAATGCCTCATAGATCTGCGGCTCAACTAACTCAACACAACTAAAATAGCAACTTATGTACTGTATTAGGATAGTTAATTTTAAGGTAATAAAATGGCGGCAAAGGTGTGGCTATTGGGGGAGGCTGGAGGCCACGTTAAAAAAGAAAGAAAAAAGTAGTTGTGGTAGTAGTAGTTGTAGTAGTAGTAGTACGTATGTCAACAACTGTGAGATAAACTCGTAGACTTAACACTTCCCTAACCATCTACAATTCTATATCACTTACAACACCACACAAGACAAACAAACACAACAAATAACACAACAAATAAAAACCTCAATCAACCAAAAACGACAATAAAACCGAAGAAAAACCCTAAAAGTAAGGTTTTAATGACTGCAGTTGTCCTCCTAAGATCAAAGACCACGGTGCCAGAGCTCTAGTAATGACGGACACCAAAACATTGTTGGCTGTATATAACGTGTCATAATTCATCGCTCGGGTACCAGGGTTCGATTCCCTTCCATTGGATCGATGATAGAGTGTGAAAGGGTGCGTTGTGTTGTGAGGGTATTGGAGTTATTTAGGAGAGAGGGGGAGAGGAGAGAGGGGAGGGAGAGAGGGGTGGAGGGGGAGGAGGGGAGGAAGGGAAGAGAAGGAAGGGGAAGAGGAGAAGAGGGAGAGAAAATACAGTGTGTGTGTGTGTGTGTGTGTGTGTGTGTGTGTGTGTGTGTGTGTGTGTGTGTGTGTGTGTGTGTGTGTGTGTGTGTGTGTGTGTGTGTTTTGATAAGGCTAATATTAGGCCGGCTGGGTGCCTATGAGAATGGGGGAACCTATTAAAACTCGACCCCATTAACCGGAAGAACAACCCCGGAAGAACGACCCAGAAAGAACCACCCCGGAAAGAACGACCCCGGAAAGAACGACCCCCCGAAAGAACGACCCCTGAAACGACCCCATCCTCCCACCTCACTATCGACGCTCCCAGCCTGACAGTCTCCCCTGGGCCTTGGGTAGACAGCGAGTGACAGTCTGGTATTTGGGTGAGTGGCGCCCCTGCTGTCACCCTAGACCGACATACATACATACATACATACATACATACATACATACATACATATATACAATCTATCTATCTATCTATCTCATACACACACATACAAAGAAAAAACCAGACACGTAGAAAGAAAGAGATAAACGAACAGACAGACAGACAGATACAGACAGAGAGACAGACAGACAGACAGACAGATTGAGAAGGTCACAAGCCAATTAGGACACCAATGATTTTTTTGGTAAGAATGAGTACACAATCCCATCCTCCCACACTCCTCCCCCACCCCCCCACCCACACACCCCACATCCCCCTTTCCCACTCCACAATCCTCCCACCTCCCTCCCATCCCTCCCCCTTTCTCCCACCCACAATCCCCCCTCCCCCACACCCCCTCCCAGGCGATTTGGGGAGATTACACCAGTTTATTGGGATTACTGGTCTTTACTGGGATTTTAAATGATTTTTGGGATTACATGTAGTTATTTGGGAATTCAAGGGATTTGGGGGGATTTCAGGGGATTACTACCAGAGTCGCTATCCTCCCCGACACACACAAGAGGAAAGAAGTTATAATTCAGGGATCACTGGTTGGCAACAGCAGGAAGGAGTTTTGCCATAATTGCCATGGTGACACAAAACTGAGGATCTCTTGTGGGCAACACTGTGTTATGGTCTTGGTTACCATTGAGGGATTTTAGGTAGACGGGATTACGAGTTGCCAGTGAGGGATTTTAGGTAGACGGGATTACGAGTTACCATTGAGGGATTTTAGGTAGACGGGATTACGAGTTGCCATTGAGGGATTTTAGGTAGACGGGATTACGAGTTGCCATTGAGGGATTTTAGGTAGACGGGATTACGAGTTGCCAGTGAGGGATTTTGCTAGTAAGGGATTACGAGTTGCCATTGAGGGATTTACAACCACTAAATATGAGTCAAAAGGGATTTGTTTGTATTTTATATTTGAGAAACTTTTGTGTTGTAATTAACGAAGATAAACAGAAATATTAAGTTGTGTGTGTGTGTGTGTGTGTGTGTGTGTGTGTGTGTGTGTGTGTGTGTGTGTGTGGTAAGAATTAATTAACTCACCGCTGGATCTGAATTTGGTGTGTGATTGGTGGGGATCAAGGCTACTCTCATCAGCCTCAGCCAATCACAGGGCAGATTGTGAAATAAAGTCAGAGGATAGGTATTGTAGGTCAGAGGACAGGTATTGCAGGTCAGAGGACAGGTATTGTAGGTCAGAGGATAGGTATTGTAGGTCAGAGGACAGGTATTGCAGGTCAGAGGACAGGCATTGTAGGTCAGAGGACAGGTATTGCAGGTCAGAGGACAGGTATTGTATAAAATATCGTAAATCAAAGGTCAGATATGGTAGGTCAAAGGTCAACAATGGGAGGTCAGAGGTCATGTAACTATGGACCCAAAACGCTAAGGCAGTACACCCCTACAGAGCCACAGCACCCCTACAGGAGCCACACAGGTGAAGTACAGGTGTAGTGGGTAACAAGGGCACTCTGCTTACCTGTGAGACTTTACTAATGACCTCTCCATCACGCCTTCTCCACCTTGACGGTACAGTAAGTGGGAAGTGAGGGAGATAAGTGGTGGAGGTAGGGATGAGGGAGATAGGGGGTGGAGGTAGGGATGAGGGAGATAAGTGGTGGAGGTAGGGATGAGGGAGATAAGTGGTGGAGGTAGGTATGAGGGAGATAAGTGGTGGAGGTAGGGATGAGGGAGATAAGGGGTGGAGGTAGGGATGAGGGAGATAAGTGGTGGAGGTAGTGATGAGGGAGATAAGTGGTGGAGGTAGGGGTAAGGAAATGGGAGAAGAAAATAGATAATAATGAAAAATAAAGAAAGAAAAGAAGAGTTATATAAGAGAGAGAGAGAGAGAGAGAGAGAGAGAGAGAGAGAGAGAGAGAGAGAGAGAGAGAGAGAGGGGGTGTTATCTTCTGTCTCTCACTGTTGTTGTCATAACGGCTCCAACACAGCTCGTATCTCTTTCTCTCTGTTTTCAATTATTGTTCTATTATCTGAGTTTACCTCGACCTATTTTGATACTACCTTTCATTACCTATTTTGATCCGCCTACCCACCCACCCACCCACTTACCCACCCACTTGTGAACCTGCCCAAGTGCACCCAATCACACCTGGACTCATCAATCCACACGTGATCCCGCCCACCCACACATGTACCCACCCACCCACCCACACGTAAACCTACCCACCCACACGCAAACCTACCATCCCACCCACCCGTGAACCCACTCCACCCACCCACCCACATGTAAATTCTGAACGGTCGCAACCGTCAAAAATACCATGAAAAATATCGTTGTACGTTGCTTTTCACTTACCCACAGCAAGAGGAACTGCTGTACATGTGGGCTGTGAACTGCTGTACATGTGGGCAGTGAACCTGTACATGTGCCTGGGTGAACTGCTGTACATGTGGGCTGTGAACTGCTGTACATGTGGATGTAAACTGCTGTACATGTGGATCAGAACTGCTGTACATGTGGCTGTGAACTGCTGTACATGTGGGCTGTGAACTGCTGTACATGGGCTGTGAACTGCTGTACATGTGGACTGTGAACTGCTGTACATGGCCTGTGACTGTGACTGCTGTGAACTGTGTGGGCTGTGAACTGCTGCACATGGGCCTGTGAACTGCTGTACATGTGGACTGTGAACTGCTGCACATGTGGGTTGTGAACTGCTGTACATGTGGGCTGTGAACTGCTGTACATGTGGGCTGTGAACTGCTGTACATGTGGACTGTGAACTGCTGTACATGTGGACTGTGAACTGCTGTACATGTGGGCTGTGAACTGCTGTACATGTGGGCTGTGAACTGCTGTACATGTGGGCTGTGAACTGCTGTACATGTGGGCTGTGAACTGCTGTAAATACTGAAAAGGGAAATTCAGTATTGTACAAGTTATTGTTAGTCAGGTGATAAATATTGATGCGTCCAATATTTACAATTTAACACACCAGGTACAGTCCTAACCTGACCTGACCTGACCTAACCTGACCTGACCTAACCTGACCTGACCTAACCTAACCTAACCAAGTCTCCGCTAACGTAATCAAACCACCGTATCACCATAACCACTGTATCACCATAACATTGTATCACCATAACCACTGTATCACCATAACCACCGTATCACCATAACCACCGTATCACCATAACACTGTATCACCATAACACTGTATCACCATAACACTGTATCACCATAACCACCGTATCACCATAACACTGTATCACCATAACACTGTATCACCATAACCACTGTATCACCAGAACCATCACCATAACACTGTATCACCATAACCACCGTATCACCATAACCATACGATCCATGTATCACCATAACCCTCTGCCACCACCACCCTCTGTCACCATATCCCTCTCTCATTATCCATGTATCACCATAACCCTCTGCCACCACCACCCTCTGTCACCATATCCCTCTCTCATTATCCATGTATCACCATAACCCTCTGCCACCATAACCCTCTGTCACCATATCCCTGTATCAGTATCCAATGTGTCACCATAACCCAGCATGTAGTGAGTTATAGTGACCGTTATGTTAATGGTGGCGGTCTGATACATTACGGCCAAACAAACACTGACTACCACAGAGAGGGGTGAGTGGGATGTGAGGGGTGAGAGGGGGGAAGTGAGAGGGGGGAAGTGAGAGGGGTGAGAGAGGTGAGAAGGGCGAGAGGGAGAATGAGAGGGATGAAAGGGATATTAAGGGGAATGAGAGGGAAGTGTAATAGGTGGGAGGGGGAGTGAGAGGGAAGTGATATGGGAGGGAGAGAGGGAACTAATAAGTGAGAGAAAGAGAGTGAGAGGTGAGAGGATAGTGAGAGGAAGTGAGAGAGATGTGGTAAATGCAATAAAGGAATCGATGATGAAAGAATCTTGGGACAGTTTACCTTGAATTTACCTTGAGTTTACCTGTAGTTTACCTTGAGTTTACCTGTAGTTTACCTTGAGTTTACCTGTAGTTTACCTTGAATTTACCTTGAGTTTACCTTGAATTTACCTTGAGTTTACCTGTAGTTTACCTTGAGTTTACCTGTAGTTTACCTAGAATTTACCTTGAGTTTACCTGTAGTTTACCTTGAATTTACCTACAATTTACCTTCAGTTTTCCGTAACCTACACAGTTTACACCAAATTTATCCAACAGTTTACATGATGTGAGGTGGCGGAGAGGGAACAAGTTTACACTATGCATGGTGCAGTATACTGTTCACTACCCACTCAAATGGTCAACTCTTGCTGGTGTGTGTGTGTGTGTGTGTGTGTGTGTGTGTGGTGTGTGCGTGTGGCCGCCTCACGCACATATAACCAGCCAAGTAACCCTTGACTTTACTGACGTCCTCCTCCTCCTCCTCCTCCTCCTCCTCCTCCTCCTCCTCCTCCTCCTCCTTCTTCTTCCTCTCCTGCCGTCTCCCGCCTCCTCCTCCTCCTCCTCCTCCTACTCTTCCTTCCTCTTCTCATCATCACCACCACCACATCATATCCTCCTCTTAATTATTCCAGTATCCCTCCCTTCTTCCCCCTTCTTCCCCCCCTCTTCCTCTTCCTCCTCTCCCTCTTCTCCCCAGTACACTATAGGGCACTGAGCCATGATACCCCAAACCTGACCTTAATTCCACAATAACTCTGACATGGCAGTTTATAGCGTAGTGAACATGTTACCTGCACCAAGACCTTTAACGGTGGGGGAGGGTGGAAGGGGGGTGGGGAAAGAGGGGGTGAGGGAAGGAGGGGGGAGGGGAGAAGGGGAAGGGAGAGAAGGTGTTGGTGAAGGTCCGTGACGAGTCATGAAT